AGAAGAGCCAGAGCCCCGGCTCCCATCATGTGCACCTTCTACAGAGGCACCATCGAGAGCATTCTGACGAGCTGCATCACTGTGTGGTATGGTGCCTGCAATGCATCCTGCCGCAAGACACTTCAGCGCATAGTGAGAGTAGCTGAGAAGATCGTTGGTGCCTCTCTCCCCTCCCTCCAGGACATTTACAACACCCGTCTCACCCGCAAAGCCCTCTGCATTGCAGGTGATCCCACCCACCCAACACACAGCTTCTTTAGTCTGCTGCCATCAGGGAGGAGACTGCGGAGTCTCCAGGCCAGGACCAGCAGACTGAAGGACAGCTTCATCCATCAGGCTGTCAGGAAGCTGAACTCCCTCCCGACCTTGCCCCCCCTCCCCTCTTTTGCCCCACGCACCACTGAACTCTGACGGACTCTCCCACTCCCCCCTCCCAAATACTCACACACAGTCACTTTAATCAGTCTAAATAAGCTCTTTTTGCACTACAAATCATTATATCTGCACTGTTGTTTACTTCACTGGTTTGCACTCTATCTGCCATGTGCCGTGTGCTGCTTTATATATATTTTTTTATATATTTTTTTACATTTTACCTTATTGTATATTTGTATAGTTGTATTTTATACTTAATCTGTATATCTGTATTTATGTTCTACTGTTAGTGTTATCTGTATGCACCAAGGGTCTGAGAGTAACGCAATTTCAATTCTCTGTGTGTATGTGCTGTACATGTGGAAGAATTGACAATAAAGCAGACTTGACTTGACTTGATATGACCCCTTTAATAAATGCACTGTAACTAAACCCATTAGATTTTAGCCGACTAAATTTACTGTAGCTTGTGAAATTTACTTGTAGATGCAGACTAAAACTAAAAACAATTCAGATGACTAAAATATGACTAAAACTAAATGGCATTTTAGTCAAAAGACTATGACTAAAACTAAATCAAAATTTGCTGTCAAAATTAACACTGGCATGTAGAATGGCAGTATATTTATAAAACTATGGCTTCATCAAATAATCCTGGAAAAAATGTATCACAACGTCTAAAGAATCATGCAACACTGAAGACTTGAAAAATATTTAACAGTATTTTACTGTATTTTGTGTAGTCTGTATTTTTACTGTATTTTAAACGAAGCCTTGGTAAGCTTATGAGACTTCTTTCAAAAACATAAAAAAAATATTGCTGATCAGAAACTTTTGAATGGCAGTGCATATTCATTCAATAGAATAGAATTTGTAATTACATTAATATATACATATATATAAATAAATGTATAAATATGGAGAAAGTTGCTTACAGAGTGTGTATGTACAGAGAGTATATGTATGCCATCTAATAGCAGGGGTTAACAGGTTAACCTTGGCCCCTTGGTGCACTCACCCACATTCAACCTAATTTTTTCCCTCTCTTTCTATGCACCAAAGGCTTGGGTAATGAACAGACCCCTGACAACGGCAGTAAGGGTTGCCTTCACCCCCTAAAACTGCACTCTTCTGTTACTTTTCAAGAATACATTGTTATAATAGACAAATACCATATTTGGTTAGTACCTAGTTTCCCTGTGCTATTCCAATCATAAAACCGCAATTGGAAACCTAATTTTTTGAACAATGGCTTACTAGACAGTAAGAAAAATCATGACAGGATCTTAAAAAATTACACAGGTTTGATACATGTAGCCGCTAGTGGACGCCTCTCTGCATGAAAGATGAATGCAAATATATTAAAATACATATAAACATGCCAATTACATTAGTGCTCACGTGGGAAGCACACCACCTGCAGTCATCAATCATATCAGGAAATGAGAAGCCCTGATTTACTGGGTTAAATCTAAAATAATGGAAAGCATTATCCATCAGTCATGCCTTGAAAAAACAATGGATCCGTTTCCATAGGGATCCATTTCAAGGCCAGACTCAAGGGAACACTCAGAGAAAATCGAAAAACACTGTCAAAACCAATTCACTCAGCAAAATCAACTAATATGTGGGGGCACTAGCACTACTTAGTAGGGTCTCTTGGTAATCTATACTGTTACAGAATGTGCATGGGTCACTATCGCATCAAAACAACTAAATTACAAAGGTGTCATATCGTCATATCACCCGTTTAAACTATATGTCAACATTCTAGGTTATTTTTTCAAGCCAAACACTGGGTTGAGACTGTTGGGTAAAGAAGCTACGTTAATGTGACCCAATTTAGGTTGATAATTGTTCATAATCATTAACCCAACAATGCTGGGTTGGGAATGCGGACGTGAAAGAGACCATGTATGTGACACTCAAATGCAAGCAGTTCAGTGTGCGGAAACTGAATAAGTGGGAATGGCGCTTAAGGTGATTGATTAAGCGTTAGTGTGTTCATTGACAAGAGAAAAAAAATAACTAAATAACTGGGTAAATTTCTTCTTAAACAAACTATTCAATGATTAACTTTTAAAAAGCAATTTCGTTTAACTGTATAAGCTGTATAACTGTTGAGTTGTCTCACATACATGAAGTTTTACTTTTGCCTATGCATTTGTACATTTGTGGATGTTCTTGCTTATCAATACATTTTCACCTTTTGATATTATTGTTTCTTGTGTTGCTACTGTAGTGATTTAATCACACAGATTTTCATTTCTATTTAATTTCCCATTTCGGGTTAATTTGAACTCAGTACAGTAATTTTTCAACAATAGTTGAGCTAAATAAAACAGCCCAACATGATGGGTCAAACATTTAACCCAGTGCTGGGTTAAAATATTTTATGAAATATTTTAACAGAGTCATACATGCAATAAAAAAATGTGACCGAACTACAAAACCAATTCTCATTCAGGCAAAAAAGCACTGAACTCTTCTGTTTCAGATGTATTTTTCTATTTACTGTATTTATGTATACAGTGTATTTCCTCACTATAAACCATAGCTATCGCTTTACAGTACATTTCCATTAACATTAATAAACATTGTTAGTTTATATAATACTTAACAGATCAGTACAATACTATGACAACACTAAAACTTGTCTGAGCAATCCAGAAGCGCAGTTTATGCTAGGGCTGCACGATAAATATCGCACGATATTTAATGCGCATCTCGTCAGTAAAGCCGGTTCTGTAATCAGCGGTAAATCTCAACACGTGCGTGCTTTCACGTGGAGCAGCATTTACTACACAGAGCCGTTGTTCACAGACAAGCTGCGCAAAACCACGATCATATTTTGTGCATGTTTTGCGCAGCTTGTCTGTGAGCAACGGCTCTGTGTAGTAAATGCTGCTCCACGTGAAAGCACGCACGTGTTGAGATTTACCGCTGATTACAGAACCGGCTTTACTGACGAGATGCGCATTAAATATCGTGCGATATTTATTGTGCAGCCCTAGTTTATGCATGTGTGACATCACAGTAAATTTTGACACATAAAACTGTAAATATTGCAACAGTCAGTAATAATATGACAAAAACATCAAACTTATTCTCGACTTTCCGATTCGGTTCCGATTCTAAAATGAATTCTTACAAAAAATAAAAACTGTCGGGCAGTAGTTCTTGACCTTTTTTACTCAAATGACCCGCATTGTTCTATACAGTATTCCCTCTCCCCTATATAGGCTATGGTATTTCAGCTGTAATCATGACAAATTAATTAATTAATGTAATTAACATAATTATGTAATTATGACTACTTTTTAACAGAAACCGGAAGTATTGATATTATATTAAATTAATCAACCATGATTTATTTTGTGATTCCAGAAATTTCTAGGAATGCTATGTTCTTCAATTAAAAACAACACTTATTGACGATGGGAAAATCTATGAATGCAGTTTAGATTTTATGTGTTTTTTAGCATTTACATTAAGATTAGAGTACAATAAGTCATCCTGCGATCCCACTTAAAGTTTGCTGAGACCCTCTGGTTAAGAACCACCAGTCAAAGGACTTGGCTTAAGTCAGCTAACTTTCTGTTAAAAAAAAACAACAAAAAAACAACAAAATTTTGTCAGCTTAAAATGTCAAAGACAGAGGTTCTCGACCTTTTTTTACTCAAATGACCCACATTATTCAACACAATATTCCCTCTCCCTCCACACAAGCCTATGGTATTTTGGGTATTTCATCTGTAAACATAACAAAGCTACTTTTTTTAACTAACAGAAACCGGGAGTATTGATGTTATGTTAAATTAATCAATCATGATTCCTAGAAGTTTGCTTAAGTCAGCTAACTTTCCGTCCAGTCCAGCTGACAGAGCATTTCAATTACATACTGTGAGGAAAAAGGTGGTTAAGAGAAGATTATTAATTTTCAGGAGTACATGGTAGATACAATTCTGATTAAAAGAACTACCTGATATACATGATAGGTGTTGGCAGCCCGACCTTGAAGGAACACAGACGGGATCCACACGTTGACAAGGGCACGTTGAGTTCTTAGAGAGAAAAGGAAGGAGAAAACAAATGGGGAAAGTCTAGTTAGAGGACCTCAACAGAGGAGTAATTTAGCAATAGATTAGTGTAGCTAAGATACTAACAAACAGAGGGAAAAAATGACAAATATTGACACCATTAGTCATTATTGTAAAGAAACAGCCTTTTACTTGACACACAAGTTTAACATTGTATGCCTTTTCTTCAGCCATTTTTAATTACTGACATCTTCTCATGTACAAAGGTTATAGCTGTGTGGAAGAGGTGCATGAAGGCTCTAAATGTAAAAACAGAAGCAGCATTCAACCTCCCTATTTTTAGCTTAGTCTTCTCTGTCAGATCGGAGGCATCGCTTTATGGAATTCCATACCATCGATTTGATTCTCAAAAGAGGCTCGCTGTACACCACCTCCAACATAAATACATACAAATATAAAAAGAACAGTGAGTAGGAGGCCACTTACGTCTCGAAGTCAGATAGGCTGGGATCATCAGAGGTCTGGCTCAGGTCCCCTGGCACCTGTCCAAAAGCAGAGCGCATGAGGCCATAGTGAGCGTTTCGTTTTGTGTCCAGCTGAGTTTGCTGATTAACACTGTACTGCAACATAAACTTCCAAACCAGCTACATTCTGTAGTTTACTTTCCATTCTGCTAACAGCATGACAGTCCAGTAATATTTACTGAAAAAATGCATTTGGACCCAAGTCAAATTTTGGAACTGTCATTTGCAACCCATTTTACTTTCATAATATAACATGTTTCTGAATGAAACAAGACATTCGACTTGTTTCACTTATTCACTGTATGCATCAGGAATTACTCATTATAACAATGAACATGCCTTGATAGACTGATTTAATTGATGCGTCTTAACAAAACAGATATAAATACAATCCATTATTTCTGCATTATAGGCAAATACAGTATAATAAATAGTCTTAGTCAAGCAGTAAAAAAAAACTCCTGTTCAGAAGTTTGGAGTCAGTAAGATTTTTTTTTTTTTTTTAAGAAAATAAGAATTTTATTCAGCAAAGATGCATTAAATTGATCATAAGTGACATTAAAAATTTATTGGGTTACAAAATATTTTTATTTTAAATAAATTCTGCTGTTTTTAACTTTCTATTCATCAAAGAATGCTAAAAAAAATTAAAAAGGTTTCCACAAAAACATTAAGTAGCACAACTGTTTTCAACATTGATAACAAGGAGAAATGTTAACTGAGCATCAAATCATCATATTAGAATGATTTCTGAAGGATCGTGTGACACTGCAGATTGGAGCAATGGCTGCTGAAAATTCAGCTTTGCCATCACAGGAATAAATTACATTTTGAAATATATTAAAATAGAAAAGTTATTTTAAATTGTAATATTATTTCAAAATATTACTCTATCTATTGTATTTTTGATCAAATAAATGCAGCCTTGATAAACTTGATTTAAAAAAAATAAATTTTTCAAAAACATTGAATGTTTTTACTTATCAACCTCAAATTTTATATAACTTATAAATGTATATACAACTTTGATAAAACCACTTGCCCTAAACAAATTTAGTAAAATATAAAATCACAAAGCTATTTTAGTGTACTGTAATGCTGATGGAAAATTACTGTGCTACTCAGATAACCTATTAGTCAATGACTGCACATTTAGCCCTCATTCCTGAAAACACTCAAGCCCAACCAGGAACAACGCACTAATCCTATTTGAGTGTGCATCTTATCTCGTGGTGAAACTGTGGTAATGTCAGCATTTACAGGGGTCACAGGCTACTGCATCTTGGCAGCCAGTGGCACCAGAGAGGAACAGGCACATGAGCTATGGAGGCTAGATAAACCATCCACCATATACAGTTCAGCACAGTTACAGAAGGCCATGGTTCAAAGCCACTGCCGTCAGATGTATCAAAAAGTAATCAGTGGCCAACAGATAAGCAGTGAACAGAAAAGAGCACACTGTGACCGAGTGTGCCACTAGAGACAGACTGGTCAAATTAAATGGACACTTCATCCAAAAAACAAAAGCTTTGTGGAAGGAAAAAAAAATTTAATCGTTATTCACTGAACATTTTCCCCTGCCAAAGCTCTTAAATCTCATTGAAATAAAATTTTAAAAATCTGTTCTGTTTTTCACACAAAGCTTGGCTTCAGAAGACTTGGAAGTGCATATTGCAAATAATATAATAATATAACATAACATAACATAATATAATAGTGGGTGTTTACGCCCTTTTTTGAAGCTTGAAAGCTCTCTCAATATTGTTGTTTGGAAAGAGCAGTGAAGTGATTCATCAGCAATTTTGTGTCCAACAAAAATAACAACAGCATATAGATGTAGAGGGTGAGCAGTAGGGCTGGGCTGACAATACTGAATAACAGATCTTAATCGATCTTTATTTTGATCGACCAATATCGATTCTTAAAATGAAATTAAAATTCTGTCATTATTTACTCACCCAAAGAAAACAAAAATAACGACTTCATTCAACAGTTTCTTATCTTCGTGTTGCATTCACGAGAGTACCACGACGCATGCGTGTGATGAAGCTGCTGATGCAGGAGCCGGCGTTCTGACAAGGCATTCCTTGTAAAGCAGAGGAATGCACACGCATACGTCGTGGTACTCTTGTGAATGCAACACGGAAGAGAAAAAAATTGTTGAATAAAGTCATTATTTTTGTCTTCTTTGTGCACAAAAAGTATTCTCGTAGCTTCATAACATTACGGTTGAACCACTGATGTCACATGGACTATTTTATCAATGTCCTTACTTCCCTTCTGGGCCTTGAATGTGGTAGATGCGTTGCTGTCTATGCAGGGTCAGAAAGCTCTCGGATTTCATCAAAAATATCTTAATTTGTGTTCCGAAGATGAACAAAGATCTTACGGGTTTGGAACGACATGAGGGTGAGTAATTAATGATTAAGAATTTCATTTTTGGGTGAACTATCCCTTTAAATCTCAAAAATCAATCTTTTAATCTGTGCTGTTTTCTGTTGATGCGTGAAAAAAAAAAACACTAGGAAAAAAAAAACTCTAGAGAACCATTTTGATATATACAATATTTTAGATATTCATTATATGTTTAATTAACCTGTTAGTAGGGATGCTCCGATCGATCGGCCGGAGATCGGTATCGGCCTGCTATGACGTTTCGAGAAACAATGAAAAATTCGCTGTTTGTTGTGTATGTTTTGCATGATTCATTTACACAGCAGATTCAGTGACGTTAGAGCTGATCTGTGCCTCACTGCACGTGTCTGCGGCGCGTTACGGCTCCACGGCCTCCGGAGCTGATCGCGGCCGCTCTAGTCAGTGCTTGTGTTTATCAGCCAGCCGCAGCACGTTTCTGAAGTGGTTCTCCGCGCTGCTTGGTTAAAAATAGTCTTTTGTGAGTTGTTACAGCGTGGAGGACGGAACAGAAACAGAGGTTTCCCCAGTAACAGCTGTACACAAAGCAGCGCTGAGCTCACAAACGCTGCTTTATCAGGCATATAACATGCAAGATGAAATGAAAATGACATCGAAAATTTTCTAAAGATAAGTCTTCCTTCAGAAATACAGTGATATAAAAACCTTGTTTTGATTTTTAAACGTGCAGTACGTGCTCATGTTTATTCAACCAAGCCTTTTGGAAAATCCGTCAGTTTTGATATTGTGGTGAGCGCCACAAATAAATAAATGTATGGGAAACACATCCCACAGCACAACCACCTGAGCCCAACTTCAGTCTACTCATCACCTTAACTTTAACTGCGTTTGTAGCCGCTGCCATAGCCAGACTGATAAACAAACACAGACCGGAAGTTAACTTCGGGCCAGGCGCGTGCGCCCATTGAAACCGTCTATATAAAGCTTGAAGAATCAGAATCGGCATCGGTGTCAGCCGATCACCATGACAAGAAATCGGTACTCAGTATCGGCTGCAAAAATCCTGATCGGAGCATGTTAGTAATGTCTTCATTATTTAATGTTTGAATAAATCACGTTTTTATGACAGCCAACATTACATTTTTATATTTCAACAACAAACTTGAGTGTAAACATAATTATATCATTAAATATAAAAACTGCCTTATGTGCAATGTAAAAGTTTTTGAGAGCTATAGTTTGGAGTCTGTTGTTAATTATAACCTTCAATTTTATTGTACCAACTGACAGGGTTCCCTGTATAGTTTACAGTTTTAGTTAAAAGACATTTGTTTCCTTAAAAAAATATACATGCAAATATACAAAATACAAAATATACAACCAAGAACTTGTGAATCAGAATCAGAATTTAATCAAATTTTCATTTTGGCCAAGAGTTAAGAAAGAGTGAAAACTCCTTTTAAAAGAACTAATCATCATTTTGTCAACTTGATGTCATTCTAAAACCACAAGAAATGTTTTATTTTATTCCAAAATAGCTCTATCTAAAATGCAAAAAAAAAAAAAAAAAAGATCTGTAGTATGCCCTTGTTTATCTAGCTAGGTAAATGTGTGCATTTGAAAAACGGGAACGTTAGCACAGACTGACAATTAAAGATGGAAGAGGGGGCAGACCTATGGAAGCAGACAGCGATCTGCCCAGAGAGCCTGGACTGCAGAGATAGAGAAGAGAGAACAACCACTCAATGAACGTACGGTTTCACACACCCACAGAGAGGAGTGTGTGTGCTTGCATGTGCTTACCGGGCCGCGCAGGTCGATGAGTTCCTGTCTCATCTGTCCGATCAGGTTGTCTTTGGCCATGAGGGAGCAGTACAGCCTCTCGTTAAACTCTATCAGCTCTCCGTGCATCTCAGCCACCTAAAAAAACACACATTGACAAACTCGCATCAAACTCCCACCGAAATAGGCTGTTTAAAAAGCACTAGTGCTCGGCAGCTGTCGTGAAGCAGGTTGTAGTATGTGACATTTCTTAAAGGCATGTGAATATGAGTTAGCTTGGTTTTGACTCTCAGGTGTAAAAGTGTTCAGCCAGTGAGCGTTAACTGCTCGTTACAGCGAGTCCCACACCTGCCCGGCGACTCGTCAGCTGTCACTTAGAGTAAGTGACACAGACATGGAGGCAGGCTCCAGTCTGCTATTCAGAACTTGCATTCATTTGTTTATGGAAATCATATGTCAGGGTATATTTGGGTTAGCGGCGTTTTGCCTGACAGACGCATCATGTTACTTTTTGACATGTTTGTCCTGGTTGCAAGGCCACACCTGGCCAGAAAAACAGGCATGAATGAGTCAAAAAAATTATTAATGCAAAATCCTGACCTTAAAAGTGAATGTGAATGCCGTAAGACTGCAAATTCAAATGCATTTTTGGAAAAGGATGGACCCAAAAGAAAAGAAAAAAGAAATATAAAGTAAATTTTGTGTTTTAGGATACTCTATTTACATATGTTAATGCAACCAAAATTAAATTAACATCAATTAACCGTCTTGATATACCTGTACAGTGCATCCTAACCAGATGCAAATGATGTTAAGTCGCATGTATATAAATGGGATTTTTTTTTTGTCCTGACATTTTGTCAGTTGCTTGGTTTCTATTCTGACTCTCACTGGTCCAAAATCCTGCTCCACATAACATTTGTTTCTATTTTTTGTGAAAAGACATAAAAGACTAATTATGTTGCATTAATGCTGTCTCCAAGTACACCAAGGATAGTATTTCAGAGTTAGACATTTGTTATTATGACATGTATTGCATTAAAGTTGAAAAAATAATGCACAATCTCTATATCATTTTTTAAATACTTTTTTCTTAAATCTCTAATTTAAGCATGGTATTTTTCACAAACATTTATTTTGCATATTTTATACATTTTTATTTTTTACAATTTATAATAGTTGTTATAATTTTCATTTCTAGTACTTATTTATGCATGGCATCTAACAAATACATTAATTTAGCATGTTTTATATTTTACTTTTATTTTTATTGCATTTTAATTTCTCCCTTATGTATGCAGTACTAAACAAAAACTTTTTACATATTGTATATTTTATAAAACAGGGTTTTATACATTTTTTAAAACATTTTAATTTCTAACCTCTTATGCATGGTATCTTACAAAATATTTATTTAGCATATTTTACATTTTATATTTATATTTTACATGTATTTAATGCCATTAAGCAAACGGTGAAAGTGGGTGATTATTAACTTTACATTTGTTGTGTGTTCATCAGTACATACAGTAGTTCCATAGTACCAAGTTCTAAGCAGCATTACTTCACACTAAAAATACATCACATTGCACCTGATGCAGACATGATGCTTAGGCATTCCAAAAAAAATATTAATTTCAAACAGCGCTGAACGAGTGAGTAGCAGTCTCAAAGAATCTCACAAAGCAGTTTGAACTCCAGAAATAACTTCAAAACTTTTGTAATTGATTGTCAGACACGGTCCTCTATCTGGCTACTTCACTGCCTAATGTTGTGCTTTATATAGCACCTAGCTGTTTCACAGCATAAAATCAATTTCTTCAAGTCTTTTTTTAGTAGCTTGTGTGACAACTTCAAAAACAGTGACCCTTTCAACATGTTAAAAGAGCGTCAAGCTTCAAAACACATATTTTACAAGAGAACTATAAACATCTCTTGTCATGAAAGCGATTGTGGGTACTGAAACACAAGCACGTACAACAATCAAGCAAGCACAAACATACACAACACCATGCCAAAAGAGTGATTAACCATCAAGCTGGATACAAACAGGGGAAATTATGCCACTTCTGCTATATTTACACACCCAGAACGATACACACCCTGTGAGACCATCCACAGTTTCCAGTTTCATTCATTTCGCTGCGGCTCCGCATGGCACACCGCTCGTAGTATTCTCATTCATCACATTTATTTATCTGTGGCCCAGCTTTCGAACAGGACATTAAAAAATGGAAATTAATTTTAAGCGTCAAGGAACCCAATTAATTCTCTGCTAGGAAGCGAGCTAATCAGTTTGTTGTTCAGTAAGCAATAAGCTGGCTGCATCCTTCCAGCTCGCTGGCTGAATTTTCCGACCTGCCATGTCGGGTGTTAGCACTTTGGATTTATCTAAACAGGCGACAGGTTCACGCACTTCAGACAAGGTATCAAACCTCATTACTGGGCCTTAGCAGGAATCCGAGTGTGTGACTGTATCTGTATTCGCTCATTGTAATTACGGGCCGCCCTAGTGCTCCAGTGCAGATATCAAGAGCACTGTATTCCACAATTATCCCTAGTCATTATTTCCATGAAGGAAAGGAAAACAATTGTGCAGAACACAAACACCACACAAGCTCAGCATCACTGAAATAAGCCAAGGTGAAACTGAATAAATGTCAAGAAGGATGAAACGCATGTGTGTGTTTTCATAACACGCTCATACTGTAAGCAGTATCCCAAATAGATGGAAGCATATTAATGAGAGGAGAGTTAGAGGCGTTGATTTTTAATTTTTTAGATGCACAACGAGAGAGAAGGATATATTTTGAGACTGATGTGTTTGCCAGTTGCTTTTGCCTTTGAATAAAATAAACTTCAAATGATTAAAATGGATTTAAATGGATTTAAACCACCAACAAAATGAATACAAAATGAAAAGGACAGGTTCCGATTCCTTTTAATGATTCCATTAACGATTCTTTTATAGGCAACATAAATGCAATATATGCCTTAAATGCAATCCAATATATAAATATATATATATATATATATATATATAGGATTGCATTTAAGGCCTGTTAAAATATATAAATTAAATTAAATAATAAATAATAGAGATAATTTGTTAGATATTTTAAATAATAAATAGTTACTTATTAAATACAATAAGTGATTAACCATCAAGCTGGATACAAACAGGGGAAATTATGCCACTTCTGCTATATTTACACACCCAGAACGATACACACCCTGTGAGACCATCCACAGTTTCCAGTTTCATTCATTTCGCTGCGGCTCCGCATGGCACACCGCTCGTAGTATTCTCATTCATCACATTTATTTATCTGTGGCCCAGCTTTCGAACAGGACATTAAAAAATGGAAATTAATTTTAAGCGTCAAGGAACCCAATTAATTCTCTGCTAGGAAGCGAGCTAATCAGTTTGTTGTTCAGTAAGCAATAAGCTGGCTGCATCCTTCCAGCTCGCTGGCTGAATTTTCCGACCTGCCATGTCGGGTGTTAGCACTTTGGATTTATCTAAACAGGCGACAGGTTCACGCACTTCAGACAAGGTATCAAACCTCATTACTGGGCCTTAGCAGGAATCCGAGTGTGTGACTGTATCTGTATTCGCTCATTGTAATTACGGGCCGCCCTAGTGCTCCAGTGCAGATATCAAGAGCACTGTATTCCACAATTATCCCTAGTCATTATTTCCATGAAGGAAAGGAAAACAATTGTGCAGAACACAAACACCACACAAGCTCAGCATCACTGAAATAAGCCAAGGTGAAACTGAATAAATGTCAAGAAGGATGAAACGCATGTGTGTGTTTTCATAACACGCTCATACTGTAAGCAGTATCCCAAATAGATGGAAGCATATTAATGAGAGGAGAGTTAGAGGCGTTGATTTTTAATTTTTTAGATGCACAACGAGAGAGAAGGATATATTTTGAGACTGATGTGTTTGCCAGTTGCTTTTGCCTTTGAATAAAATAAACTTCAAATGATTAAAATGGATTTAAATGGATTTAAACCACCAACAAAATGAATACAAAATGAAAAGGACAGGTTCCGATTCCTTTTAATGATTCCATTAACGATTCTTTTATAGGCAACATAAATGCAATATATGCCTTAAATGCAATCCAATATATAAATATATATATATATATATATATATATAGGATTGCATTTAAGGCCTGTTAAAATATATAAATTAAATTAAATAATAAATAATAGAGATAATTTGTTAGATATTTTAAATAATAAATAGTTACTTATTAAATACAATACTAAAACAATTAATGGGTTTGGTTCATAAAACTGCAAAAAATAAGAGTGTCATAAGTGTCATTTGTTTGGTCATTCACTTAAAATAACCAACTTAAAAGACTTATATTTATATTAGATGTCTGAATAAGAAACCGGTTCTTGGTTCCCAATCCTAAATACCAAATGAAACAAGATGGCTGTGTGAACACTGAATAACTCACAGGCAGTATACAATGGTACAGCAGGAGACAGCAAACCCAAATCCAATATTTGTATCATATCCTGTCTATTTAGCCTGGTCAGATTTTGAAGGCAGCAAAGATGTATTTACATTCCCCAATCCTTTGCATGCAGCTGGTGAAAATCATAAAAAAGTAATTTGAAGGAATGGATGAAAGCAGCATATTTATTTATAAAGGTATATAATTTTTTTTTTTTTTATTATTATTTTTTTTTTTTACTTATTACTCCATTTCTACTGAGAAAAAAATATTTAAAATTCACTTGGCTATCTCCAAAGCTCAAACTTGAATTTGCTTTAGATCATTAGACATGAAGGTGCTCTGGAAGCCTGTCTGAAACCAGGGGGAACCTTCATACATAGTCACTGACTAACAGCAGCGAGACAGCAAGGCTTTTTTTGGATTCAAATCCAATGCTTTGTGTGTGGGAAGCTTCAAGTCATCCAATGGGTCTTGGGGTTACGTGAGACCGAAAAAAATTAATAAATAAAATATTCCCAAAAACGGCATGTTATATTACAGGTCTCTGGTCTTCTGAGGTAAAGCTGTTGCTAGCATTTTGGAGCAGTGCTGCTTTCAGAAGCAGGTGCTGCTGACAGCTCGTCTGCATGGCTGTCAGGGAACGAGTGCTGA